AATGCTGCACTGATGGTTATTGACTGGTAGGCAGGGAATGGAGGGGACCAATATAAGAATATAAAGACAGCATTGCAAAGAAAATAAGAGCCAAGTCTCTACATTTACCAAGAGCAAATATATCCCCTGCTCGTGAGCTCGCTTTCCTACAATATGCTGCTTGTTGAGCTGCCATTCATGGCTCAGAATAGTTTCCTTTTAGTCAATAAACTCTTCCAGTTTTAAACAAGGAAAGAAGCAGTGGGCACATCTTTTGGTGACAGCAGCAGGAAATTACCAGCTCCTTCACTTTCCAAGAGGAAATTCTCTACCGCTGACAGATGACTTAATTTGTGAAGGATTTGGGAGAGCTGACATAGCACCAGGGAAAGTCTGCTTTTTTGTGGTTTCAGGAAAGAAACGTGATCCTTTTCCATCAGATTAGAAGCTCAAAGAACGTAAGCATGTTGATAAAATAATACTATGGCTTCTCAAAAGAACCTGATTTCATTCTGGTTCAAAATGAGTGTTATACAATATTGGCTGTGCCCATATTGACCAGTTTTCAACCTATTTTACCGCTAAATCCTCAGATCGACACCGGCCTTTCTCAGCACAGAGGAGTTTGGTCAACTACCACGCTGCAAAGGAACATTGAGGTTTGAGCAAAAAACGCCATGCAGCGTATATCATCCTTACACCAGCATCAACACAGAGCTTTAGAAACACCCACAAGCAACATCCCCGCTTGGCAACCACTCTTCTCCTCCTAGGGACACCAGCCATTGCCCGCGCTTTCCAAGGAAGAGCCTGCATGTGGGGATAAAGGCTCTTGTCCAAGTCACCTTATTTATTCATGGGCCTTCCTTTGACAGCAAAGAACACTCAATCCTGTGGGAGCAATGTAACCGATTCACACGCGGATGTCCAAAAGGGCAATTTGCAAACTAATTGCCCGCACACAAGGCGCTGCGCAGACAGGTTGTCCCAACACCGCCTCTGCCTACGTTTTGTATGCCTGGCAAGAGGCGGTTGAAATGCTTTCTGGGCAGACAATGGGCTTGCTCAAGTGTGCAACTCTTTCGAAGGGAAGCTCCCCGCCCACCCCGGGTGGTGAAGGTTTGTTCTGCCCGCGTCCAGCTGCCGTGTCCTGCCAGGAAAACACTGGGGCCATGTGCGGGACAAAACAGTTCTTTTGCCTTATTGCCTCTGCCGCCGGCTCAGAAGGACGCAGAGACTATCAGCAGCATATGGGCCTCGGGGGACTTCCAGCCATTTAACCAACATTATATGCTCCATAACAAAACAACAATATTTGGGTACTTAGATCCACCAGAGAGCTAAATTAAATTCCCTAGGCGGCGAGGCTGCTATGCTAATTGCCTTGCCTTGTGGATTTGCCATGCGGCTCCCCAAGAAACAGATTGGCCCATTTTTCAGACAACTGACTGTTAATTGGAGTAATGAATAGCAGGCTGGAGGGGCCACTCATTTAGCTTGGTAAATTCAAACCCCCCTTATTCATGAGGACAAGCGAGAGGTGAAGTGGTTTCCAGGGGAGGTGGGCAGACGGGCTGGTGCCAGGTCAACCCAATGTGCGTTTCTTTCCCTTTACACTGGGAACACAAGGGAAGGTTTAGCACCTGATTTCCCCATCCCTCTGCGATGCTGTGGTCTTCAGACAGCTGAATCACCTGTAAGAAGGGCTTCCCCCATTGACTGCAGATCAGCTGGTCCCTTTAGTGAGCAGGTCTCTTGTTCTGTGGTCCTGAACACAAGCAACTTTTACTGTACGTGGGAAAGCCCTTGGTTTTCCTAAGCTTTGCTTCCCAGGCAGCTCTGATGGGCTGGACAGAAAGGCAGGAGCAGGCCGAGCATCCTCATCCTCAGGGGGCTCGCTCCTGCATCCTCAGCTGGCCACACAGCCACTGCTCCTTCCCCTTCCCACAGGACAAAAAAGGCTCTAAGAGCAAGCTCTAAAAAGCTCTATGGAAGAGGCTGGGATCAATTTTCTGCAGAGGAAGCAGAACTATATGGTGAGAAAGGGCCTTCTCCTCCCTCAGAATATTCACAATTGACTCCAAGATGATGACAAGAGCATAAAAATCTTTATTAACAAGGCACAGGTTGTCTATTCAGCTGAACAAATCCATGCCACTTGACAACCAGCTTAGCTAATGAATAATACACATATTTGAACACTTTGTCCGCACACCCACTGGTAGAACATCCATTTCTGACTGCCTGGAAACCCAGCCCTAATACGAGATATGGGAAACAATTCCTGACATCGTGAACAGTTAGAAATGGCAGAAGTCTGTTTGCACTTTGCCCATCCTCCCCACCCATTTTTTTTCCATCAAAATGAGCTTCTTGAAGGAATTAGGGGTAACATTCAGCGTGGGGCTATGTGACAGCCCACAGATGGATGTGTTTCCAGTGAATCTGGAGAAGTTAAAACCACACTGATAGCAGACATGAAGAAAATCTGGGGACTTCTTCTTAATTACATTCCACTCTGCACACCCTGTCTGTATGAATAAAGACACAAGGGTGGAAACTGCCTGGCAGTGTTTTTAATACAACTGCTGGGGTTTGGAGTAGCAGACACCTCATATCAAGCTGGGTCCAAATCTGCCCTTAGAGACCCATCACCCAGGCTTCAGACCTTGGTCTAAACCACTAAAAGCAGAACTCACACTTGCTGGGAGCAGGTGCAATGCCATTGAAGTCGTCACGTTTCAATGTCACCCTTGAGTTCAAGCAGCTCCTACAGACTGCAAGCGAGGCACGAGGGCAGGGAGGAATAAACCCATTGTAAAAGGTTCCAATAGAAGCGTACCCAGTCCCTGCTCGCAGCCCTACAAACCAAGGGGTTGAAAGTTTTGATGCCTTTTCTCCCTCGTACTCAATTCTCCTGCATACAGACATGAACAAGGATATATCCCCTTGCCTAGAAGAGCAACAAACCCAATTTTACTCTTTTTTCTCTTCTGCAAGCAGAATCGATTCACGCTTCATTGCAATAACCCAAGGCACAGGTCAAATATGGAGGGAGCAGAGGGGGAAAATCTGGCAATGATCCTCCCGTACGTCACTGCAGACAAGAGGCACACACCTCAGTACAAATACACAAGCGCTAAGCCATCTCCATTCATGTTTCTAATTAGTGCAACCCATTTAACAAACAGACACATAATATAGGTCAATTATGTAGGTCATGATAAATTTGCACACAACTTCAGCCTGTAGGGCACCAAAAAGACCACTTCGAGGCAGCATTTGCAAAGCTACAGCTCGCACAGCTTGCCAAGAGCAGCGAGGAAAGCAGAGACCTGCTGGGGTTGTCTGGTTTGTGGTACTACAGCCACCAACAACAGCAACGAAACCCTCAGCGGCATCCCCCGGGAGACAGCCACTGCGATACAACCACTGAACATGGTGCAGCCCATCCAGCATTTATACTAGACAAATCCAATGCAAAGCCCCTAAGATTGTCTATTGCACCCCACTAAATTGCAGAGAAAGAGCAAAATATACTTCGTAGGCCAGTTCTAGAGTGCTTCAGATCTGGAACTTATTGTCACACAATACCTTTACCTCAAAACCGACAAATAAATCCTGGCAGGCAAAAAGTTCAGACCACAGAAATTGGTGGAGCATGATTAGAAAAGCCAAGACAGAGCTGGAAAAGCAAAGCAGTCAGTGGAGTGCCTTATATGTGAACATGGCAAAGGCATGTTTCGATCCCGATTTCCTCGGAATAGGAGGCTTACAGGACTGGTTTGCCCCCCTGCCTCTTCAAACCTATTGAACCAGTTACAAGTTTCAGCCACAATTGCCAGAAACGTAAATGTCTCCAAGATCCCAGACTGGTTTGGGTTAGAAGGGATGTTAAAGCTCATTCAGTTCCAATCCCCTGCCATGGGCAGGGACACCTTCCACTAGAGCAGGTTGCTCCAAGCCCCTGTGTCCAACCTGGCCTTGAACACTGCCAGGGATGGGGCAGCCACAGCTTCTCTGGACAACCTCTGCCATGGCCTCATCACCTTCCTGATGTCTAATCTAAACCTCCCCTTTGCCAGGTTAAAGCCGTTCCCCTTTGTCCTGTCATGACGAGCTTTAGATCAAGCTGCCATGTTTCATTTTATGAGCTTGTGAAATAAACGGTAGGTATCCAGAGGAGACAGAACACATGTATGCATTCCCCATGGGAAAGCAACTGCCAACTCAGCATTAGCAGGTTTGCCCATGGCCCTCTGCCCAGGGACAGATGCAGCTCCACAGAAGCCACGGGATGTGCCAAGTCCTGCCTTGCTAGGAATTTTGGGGAGGAACGATGAGGCGCCACAGGGGAGGCATCAAAAGAGCAGCAGGTGCCATGTGGGGTGTTAGGTACGGGATGGGACTGCAGAGCTCCTCGTTCTGCTCAGGGTGTGGGGAGGATGTGGCGACCGAAATCACAGCAAATGCTGCACGTGTGGGGTTTGCAGGGAGATAAAGGGGTTGTGGGACTCAGACCTGTAGGGAAACAAGCTTAATGTTCAGTGATGGCCACACTTTCTGCTACAGGTCAGCACTAGTGCAATTTGTTCTTTGAGATGAAGGGAGAAAATGGATCTTGGATGGGAATTTGTGGTGCTTGTTTCGTTGCTGTCACCTTTCCTTTGTATTTCCAAGCATATCTGAGTTCTGCATCCAGCTCTGGGGCCCCAGCACGAGAGGGACGTGACTGTACGTGAGAAAGGAACAAATGTAAAACCTTTAGAACCATCCACACTCCTCTCCAGGGCCCCAGATGAGGCAAGTGGGTTGAAGAACAGCCTGAGAACTGTTCCCCGTGCACATAAATGGTGCTTTTCACAGGAGAAAAAAAGGAACCCAACCCACATTACACTCTGGAATATCTCATCCGCACGGCAGCGCTGTTCAGGAGCATACATGCAAGGTATTTCACCTATGAGAAAGAAATACTTTACTCAGCCTCCCCTCCCGGCCCCACCAGCCCCAGCCCCGGGACCGAGCCCGGGGCCCCGTCCAGTGCGGCACCGGCCCGCACCGCGCCTGCGCAGAGGGAGCGGCGGCCGCCCCGGGGCGGGGCAGCGGCGTCGCCATGGCGGGGCCGGCGGCGGTGTGAGTGCGGGTGGTGGGGTCGGGCGGGAGCTGTGCTGGGCACCGGGGGAAGGCGGCTGCGGGCCCGGCGCGGTGGCGGGGAGGCGGTGGGGGGGTTGAGGGCCGGGCCGGGCCGGGCCGGGCCGCTGCCGTGTGGCGGTCCCCGCGGACGCCCGCCCTCGCCGGGAAGCTTCTCCCGTGCAGCCGATCGCGCAGAGTTAGCCCCGGTTCTCTTCAGCGAGACCGGGGTTATGCTGGCGGGACGCTGCTCCTCCGCGCCCATCGCGCTGCCGGCCTCCCCTTTCCCTCGCTGGAGGCTTCTGTCTCCTCAGAGGATCGTCCGCATCCTGCCGCTTTCCTCCCGTGGCGTTGAGCGCTCGTACCCGCAGTTGAGGCCTTTGGCACAGTCACCCCATAGATGCGCAGGGATTGCCCCCCATTCCCTTGCCATGCCACCCCCCCCCCCATTCGTGTTCCTGCGCCGCTGCACTGCCCTGTTTTTCATGTGTATTTGTGCCTGTCGTTTTGCTTTCCTCCATTTTCATCCCATTTTGTCGTGCCCCTTGTTGGCACTACGCTGAAATCACCTTGAATTTAAATTCCCCCCTCTCACGCCTTCTGCATCTTCTGAATTCATACCGTGAACAGATTTACATACGCGCCAAAGCCTGAAATCAACCTCATCAATTGGTTTGCTTTCTCCATCACACTCTCAAAGAAGGAAAGGAATAATGTGATTTGCGCCCCATAAATCACCACTGGCTGCTGTTTAATTATGTGAATGATGTTTGATGGACAGAGCCTTGGGCAACCTGCTCTAGTGGAAGGTGTCCCTGCCCATGGCTGGCGTTTGGAACTGGATGAGCTTTAACGTCCCTTCCAACCCAAACCAGCCTGGGATTCTGTGGTTCTGTGTAGTGTGACTGCTTGTTCTTGCCTTGTGCTTTGCTGTGCTTTCCTTCCAGGTATTGGATTTAGGGTATGTGTACTGTATAATTCCCTGGCTCTTCCATCTTTTCTTTTCAACACTGTTCTTAAGTTGTACTTGTCCAGCCTCCTGGGACCATCTTCACTGTCCAGGAAGTAACAAACATAACTGCAAGTGATTCGGGTTGGCCAGAGAGGTTGTGGGATCTCCATGCTTGGAGGTTTTCAGGATGAAGTTGGATACAGTCCTGAGTGTGTTCTTTGACTGGTTGGATGAGGGATCTCAAGAGGTCATCTTCCCATCTCAGTCACTGTATTTCGCTACTCTGAATTCTCCTTACTCTCTTCCATCTTAGGCCTCAGTAGCAATGGGGAAAGAAAAGATTTATGCAGCTTCATGTCTTTAAATTAGCTGTAGATCTCAATGACATGCTGAAGAAGGATGGATATTTTCCTTCTGAACCATTGGGAAAGCAGTGAGCAGTGTCGTAGGTATCCAGCAGGCATGGGTGTGTGTGATGGTTAGGACAAGCAACATGGGAGAGGGGGTTTGCTGCTAGGTCCAGTTTTACAAGTGATTCACAGATCCTCCATTGTCCTGCTGGAATAAATGTGGGCATTTCAACTTCAACTGCAGGTTCCACTGGGTGAGTTGAGACAGATTTGAGCACTGAAGACAGTAGCTGGTATCTCGATTTTACTCCAGCTGCTGAAGGAGCTGCAGGCATAAAGTCTTCTCTTTGCCAGCAGTGGTCTGGCCCACCCTGTGAGGCTTTTGTTACCAGGCTGTTTGTTGCAGTCACTTCCTACTTGCTTTGCCTGCCGTACCCGTTTTCTTATCACTGATCTAAACCAGTAGTTACGTGTTTCACTGATGCGCAAGTTGAAGTTTACTCCTGTAAATCCCTTATCAAATAACGTTCATACTCTTAGTTCCTTGTAGCAGATTTAGAAAATAAAACACCTGTTTCCTTCTCTGTTGGATATAGGAGTGATGTGGGAAGCGCCTGTTTTGTGTGAAGGACAAGAAATAAAACATTTGATAAAGGGAAGAAACAAAACATCCGATAAATGGAAGCCATGAAGATGTCAAAGCGGTTCTTTGCTTTTGGGATCTTGGCATGCATAGCTATTTATGTTGCATACATAAAATGGCACTTGGATTCCAAACAAGTTGTTGGAGCAACAGAAGGAGTTGCTGAGAGCAGGGGAGACAAACTGAACCATCAAGCACTGAGCACAGAGCTCTCGGTCTTCTATGGGATTATGTTTGATGCAGGAAGCACAGGAACTCGCATCCATATATTTAAATTCACACAGCAGCCAAAAGGTACAGTTTTGCTCTTTGAATCGTACATGAACTATAACCTGTGGGGCAGATTACTGATGATTCTTTTCTAGGGATTACTTGAACAAACAGTTCTGTCTCGAGAGCCGTCAGGAAGTATGCTGTTATTGAAGCATGTAGGTTTGGATGCAGTTATGAAAACATTCAACAAGGAGGAAATGCTGTAATGTCAGAATGTGATGAAATAGCAGCTCTACCTTCTTCTACCTGAAAAGGAGCAGCTTTTCATCACACTGCATGGTGGAAGAGGGGGTTATAAATTCAAACTGCCTCCACATTTTCACTGTGAGCTTGTTGGCTGTGTCCAGTTCCTGGCAGGGAGTTGCTTCTCTCCGCATTGGCTGGTTTTCTGCATCCTTGGGTTTAGTGTTGGATTTAAATTGCAGAACTTCAGTGTTTGATTCAAATTGCCGTGCATTGCATTTGGGTGAAGGTATTGATGAGAAGTGGGGCGGTGGGGAAGGGACAGAAAATCTCCAGTTTTCCCCTGGAGTCACAAGCTTCATTTGTTGAGGTGTTGTCCACTCCTCTGTGAAACTCTTCAAGATGAGAGAACCCATGTGGATGCTTTAGTATCACCTTAGTAGGTGATCTGAGGATGCTTTTAAGGATGAGCAGTGAGGTGTGATTGGCCTGTGGGGAGCACCTTAGGTTTGCGGAATGGGCTAGTGTAAAGTGTTTAAAGGTTGGGTGGCTGTGGGTAGTTCATTAGACAGAGGCTTTAGTCGACTTCCATCATGATGTAACTTGTAAGATGGTTTTACTTTTGTGTCTGCAAAATTCTTTGTACCATTACTTATTTTGGAATGCTGTTTTTGAGCAGAGACTCCCAAATTGACCCATGAGACGTTTAAAGCCCTGAAGCCAGGTCTATCTGCCTATGCTGATGATGTTGAAAAGGTAATCTTGTTTCTGTTACTGTAAAAGCACGTGCCCCCAGATCTCCTGAGTTTTATGTGCCCTACAAAGCATGAAATGGCAGAGAGTTCTCTGTCACTCTTTGGAAAACCTTTTGGATGTGACCTGTTGCTGGATGATGCCCACTATATCCACCAGGTGTCATGCTGTAGGAAATACCGAGTTCTCCACCTTCTCACGACACTCGCTTTTTCTGCTCCACATTTAAAGTGAATAATACCTCTGATCACCCTTTTGCCTTTCCAAGAAAGGTAAAGAGTTTCTGAGATGCCTTTTGTTTTGTTCTTTCTGTGCTCACAGAGTGGCCAGGGAATAAAAGAGCTCCTGGAGGTGGCAAAGGAGGAAGTTCCAATGGAGCTGTGGAAGTTTACTCCTCTGGTCCTGAAAGCCACAGCTGGCCTACGGTTGCTGCCAGGAGAGAAAGCTCAGAAGTTGCTGGATAAGGTACTGCTTCTTTCAGTTTGCTTTCCAGAAATTCTGTAGCAAACTTTAGTCCTTTCTTTGTAAGGTGCATACTCCTTTATCTTCATGTACATGAGACATTTCTGACATTTAACCCTGAGTGCAAGTGGGGTTGGGGGGAGGAATTGTGTGAGTACAAGCACAGAGGAATGATGACAGCTCTGAAAAAGCCTGGAGATGACATATAACAAGTGTAATGAGATACTCCTAACAGTCACCACAGGCTTGTTCTTACTGGGTGTATTTGTTGGTGGTTTTGACCAGGATGGTGCTATTTTGAGAAGAACTCTATTTGGTCCTGTTATCAGCCTGCTGCTGCAAGGCTGCTCCTTTATATTGATTGGATATAATTTAAATTGTATTTATAGGCATGTAAAATATGTTTAATATTTTAAAATGTTCTAAAAAACAAAATGTTACATTCTAGTCTTTATGGCTGCAGGAAAAGTTTAAGTATGCATTAAATGTACTCTTTTTCTAAGCAATAATAGGAAGGAAGAAATGTGGTGTGGTGGAAAACCAGTGTTTGTATTGTTCTCTGCTGCCTGCAAACTAGTTTGTTCTTTCCACACTGGATGTCAGCTGGAACTGCTGTAGTTGTTACTTTAGAGGACTCTGGAACCCTGGGGCTTTGCTACTTCATGTAGGATGTAGTGTGAACAACCTCTAACAGCCAACATGCTCCTGTTAAAAATGCCGTTTCCTGGAGCATTTCTGAAAGCCAGGGTGTCCATCTCCTGTGGCTCCCATGCGTATATAATACCTTGTGGGTAGGCAATTGCAGCAAAGTCAGCTGGGTTCCCTTCCCTGCCCATGTTCATCCCTTGTTAATGGCATTTCTGAGCAGTCTTCAGGGCTGGCTCTGGCAAATAGCAGACCATGGGCTGATGCTTGTTGGGCTCTTGAACTCCAAAGTGGTGAGCAGCAGTCAGGAGCTAACCCAAGAAGAGGAGTGGCTGTGTATAACTGTAGTTACATAGAACACTTGCTTTCTAGTTGAAAAAGGGTTTCACTGAGTTAGCTTTTGTTTGAACTGCAGGTGAAGGAGATCTTTCAGGCTTCCCCTTTCTTCGTGAGGGACAACTGTGTGTCGATAATGAATGGAACCGATGAAGGTAGGATAACCCCTTCTGCAACCATGGCGATTGCAGCCTCACTGTGACCAGTCCCAGCTCACTGTGGTGGGAGCCCACAAGCAGCAGATTTGACACAGTTTTGATGCTGCTATGTTTTCCAGTTCGAAGTCCTGAACTCTGTCCTGATTTTCAAAGCTCTTGAGCGCCAAGCAGTTCCTGTGGGATCACCAGGAAGCCACTGTGCAGTCAGCACTTCTGGAAAGGTTTCTGAATATCTGCTTGTTGAGACAGCAACTGGTTTTGCACACCCTCCTCTTGACAATGCTCATCAGATATTTCTGGAAATATTTGGAATGCTTTCTGGAAGTATTATTTAATGATAACTAATCTAATGAGTGTGATTGTGAATTCAATCTGAAGAAAAGTTATATAGAAGGAAATATGTTCTGAAGTAACTTGATGCTCATCAAAAAATGATGAGGACAGAACCCAGAATCAGCCTTGATTTCTAATAATTTGAAGAAACTTCTAAATTCTAAGTAACTAAGTGTTGAAGTGCATTTTAAGTCTGCTTAGAAGACAGACTTTAAAATAGCTGGAGCTGTTTGGAGCTCTTTACGAGCTTCTTTTTTACTGCTTGATGGAAAAAGGCCATTGTAATTCTTCTTGTTTTGTTTTAAAATCATTAACAGCAGTGACAGCCTTGGTTCAGCCAGGGGTTGAACTGGACCGTGTTCTCTTGCATGCCTCGAGTTTTAAACCCCATGGATAAATATTTAAATTGGTTAACATGAGGCCCACTAATTAATCTAATTTATGGAGAAAAGGTTTATAAGCCAAGAAGAGGACAGAAACAGAGCAGGAAAACCCAAAACACTGAAAAGATGAAAATTCTTAGTATTCAAAAAGCAAGCTGAGAGCCTGACATCAAACAGAATCCTACCAGTGGATGTCTTCCTAGAAAATGAACAGCGTGTCAGTCATTTCCATGTCTTTTAGCTAAGGACACTTGAAGCCTTTGTGACTTCCTGTCTAAGTTTTTGACCTGTGAAATAGAGTTCTCCAGGTGTTTCATATACGGGCCTTCTCTTCCAAACATCACACAAGCTCTGGTTTAAGTCACTCTCTGTGTTCATGACATCTAATCTTGTGTTGTGACAGACACTAGCAGTTGTGGAAGCACTGGCTTTGGGGCAGCTTGGGTCAGGGGAGCTCAGCACAGCCAGTCCTCTTCACCCTTCTTGCTTAGCTCTCAGCCAGACGTCCTTTGGAGACTGCATTAGAAGTCCTCTTTTTGTGAACGGGGGCAAGGGAGCTTATGGCAGATGGTCTCTGGTGTCTCTCTCTGTTGTCGGACCACAAGCTCTTGTTTGCTGATTGTTTTGTTTAGATGGTGCAGTTAAACTTAAAATCCATCTAAACAGCTCCTAAACCAGAAAGCCCTTGTAAGAGGGCTCACCACCTTTGGTACTGTTGTTAGATAAAATGGAGTGCTATGATCTAACAGGGTGTCTTTTAAATCTTTTCTTTGTTAGGTATTTCAGCCTGGATCACAATAAATTTTTTAACAGGTATGTGTACATGAGCATGTGCATAAGGATGTGACCGGTGATGTGGAATTCGTACTGGTTTCTGTCCCTGCATGGGATTTGCTCCATTATTGGGGTGGAGTGGGAGAAAGAAGTATCTGGGAACAAGGCAGCAGTTGGCCTATGTAAGTCATTAGGATTTGGACCATTTACTTGACACAGTGAGGGGTTTCATCCCTTTCCCTAGGTGTTTAATGTTGCCTTTCTTTCAATTCCCTGTAGGGTACCAGAGCATTTTATTCCTTTTTAGAGTCTGCCACCAGCTTTGGCTAAATTTTTAATGTGGGTATTCTGGTTGTTCTTGGCAGCTGCACAGAACGAAAGAAAGGGCTATGCTACATCTTTAGAGATTTATAACTTAGAGATACCACAAATACTTGCACTGCTGAGTCAGAAAAGGGTAGCTAAAGGGGAAAAGAAAGCAGCTTAAGCTGAAGCCCTCTCCAAGTAAAGCAGTCTGACCCCCAAGCGCTCTGTTCAGCACACATGGTGTGTGTAGCAATGCAACAAGTGCTCTAAAGCTTTTTGTGCTCACAGGATATATCAGAAAGGTCAGAGATCTTCAATCAGCAGCTGTCATGATGCATACCGAGGTACTTGGCACAAGCTAGTCTTGTCAGGAAAGGTGTATGTGAAGGATCTGAGAAGGATGGGATTTAAATGAGAAGAGAGGTCTGGGCTGGCAGCAGGAAGAATTCCAAGACTGCTGAGTCTGAGGCCACTTCTTTTCAGTCTGTCATCCCCTTGGCTGTAGGAATCTGCAGAATATCACTAAGGGATAAGGGAGAGGTGGCCAAGGAAACCACATTCCTCTGTGCTGCGAAGAGGTTGCCAGAGTAGAGTTAGCAAAAGGGTCCTTGCATCCACTGAAAGAATGTTTAGAAACCCAGTAACCAAAGCTGCTGTAATTAGAGCATGAACAGCCCCAGAGAAATGAGAGAAACTCTGTCACTTGAGATTCTCAGGACACTTGATAAAGCCAAAATAAGCACCCAGTAGATGATAGTATAATTTAGTCCTGGCTGGAAGCTGAGGGATGTTGTTGATTGTCCTGTTTCTTTACAATTGTACTTCTGGGTTTGCTCCCCTAGCCAGTTTCTCACAGCGCCCCCCATGGCTTTCTTTGTTCTGTCACACGTTTCAGGTAGCCTAGATGATCCGCAGAAGAGAAGTGTAGGGATGCTGGATTTGGGTGGTGGATCAACACAGATCACCTTCCTTCCACGCACAGAGGTAATGTGAACATGCACATTGCTGGGGAATGCTGGTGCAGTAACTGCTCAGATTGGTTTCCCTTGGAAACAGACCAAGAGTTTGTCAGTGTGACATGAAGCCACGCTTCTGACAGAAAAACCTGTGTCACCTGGCCACATCTACCTTGTTACAGTCAGTCACAGAGGCATTCACAGCTCCCTGTCAGTCCTCTTACTCCAGCGCTGTGGGTTGGTGATGCATGTCATGAAGTTGCCAGGGCTGCTTTCTCTTGGGGGAAAACACAGTGTTCACCTGAGCACCTTCAGTTTGTGCTGATAATCATGAAGAACTCAAATGCTGTTAGTGAATTCAGTCCAAAATTTGGCCTGTATTGGGTTTTAGGAACACAGTAAGATGCCATCTCAGTCCTCGTTTCTGATTTTCCTGAGTTCACTCAGTTGCAAATGAATGCTTTCTAAGAACAATTGTTATTATGCATTAAAAAATACATGCTGATGGTTATCATTTTGGTTTCCTGTTCTGGCATTTGTATAGGTGCTCTGTAAGTTGGATGTCCTGTGGATGTGACGTTGTAAGGCTCTGGCCTGAGCAGAGATACTGTTTATAGTAAAGCTGCACAAAAGCAGAGTGTTGGGTTGCTGTATCTAGTGTCCCAGTCTGGGCTAATCAAGATACTGCTTTTACAGAAGGGGATGTGAAGTGTCCAGAATGTGGAAGTTCTGGACGTAGAGATGGTGTTAAGATCTGAGCAATATGAATAGCATCATAGCCTGAGCTTTGCTCCCCACAAATATGCCAGTGTGCTGGTGCACTTGGGGAAGAGTCTGCAAAGTGCTGTAGATAATTACCCTTTCATTTCTCCAGGCCACAGGCTGGTCCTCACTCTGTTCCTTGGCAAGCACAGTGAGGTGCTTTTCCTCTGGCTCGTGGAAGTTCACAGCTGAATTCATTTGAGTAGGAAGTTAATGCGTGCCTGGCTTTCATATTAGTTTGCACACTTTTCCCTAGCAGGGATCATGTGAAGAGGCAGTTGCTGTAGCCTCTTGATAAAAGTAGTTAAGAGCTGGAATAAGGATTCCCTTTTAATTCAAGTAATTCTTTTATACACCAGTTCAGTGTGGATGCAGATAGAAGTGTAACCAGTGTAGACCCTGTCATGTGAAGACACTGTTCTAGCTCCAGGTATCAAATCGATATACTTGCAGGTTCATCATTTCTCTCTGAACTGGGTTGTTTCATGTTGGTTTGGGAGATTTTGTTGTTGATTGCTGCTGCTGCTGGCAGAAACCTTGCAGTGACATCTTTTTCTGCCTCCAGGCAACTCTCCAGACATCACCAGCTGGCCATACAACTTCATTTCAGATGTTTAACAACACCTACAAGCTGTACTCATACAGGTTAGTTGTGGGAAAGAGCACATTGTACACACAGAGGCTTTCTATGAAGCCAGTGAGACCTAGGTGTTTTGCTGTAAGAGGTCCTTACAAATGAGTATTGGGAAGAAGTGGAGAAACTTGAGCCACCCTGTTATTACTGTGGTAATGAACCTTGGCTGCCCACCAGGTGCCCCCCAAGCTGCTCTGTCACTGTCCTTCCATCAACAGGACAGGGGGAAGAAAATACATTAAAAAGCTCATGGGAGGTCACCTACCAGTTGCCATCGTGGGCAAAACAAGACTTTCCTTAGAGAATTTATTGCCAACTAAACAGTAGGATAATGAGAAATAAGAACAAAATCAAAAACACCTCCCTCCGCCTCTTCCTCCTTCCCAGGCTCAGCTTCACTCCCTACTCTTCTCCCCCTTCACTGCCAAGTGGCACAGGGGGACAGTCAATGGACTTCGCAGTCAGTTCATACTGCTTTGTCTCTGCCATTCCTTCTTCTTCACTGGCTTCCCCTCCTCTCAGTGTTCTGGGCAGAAGGAAGCAGCTTTTTCCCACCCATATTTGCTGTGGGGTGTGTTTGGGCTCAAAGAGTCAATTCTGTATGCTAGAGGCTGTGTGCTTTCAGCATTCCCAGTTTTTAAGAGCCAGATTACCATTGACAGCTATTGCCTGTGCTTTTTCAAACAGATTATCCTTCTGGGGGAGGGTAGTATGAGGGTGGGTTGTCACACTGTTCCCCTTGCGTGCATCAGCTGCTGACTTGAGCCATTTTGCTGGGACTACGTAGAGGAGACTGGCATGTCCCAGCCAGGTTGCCAGTGGAGTGTCAGAGGAGGGATGTTTTTTGTTCACAGAGGCTTTTATTCCTTTGCAGTTACCTGGGACTCGGGCTGATGTCAGCAAGGCTCGCCATTTTAGGAGGAGTTGAGGGAAAACCCTGTAAGTTATGGCTCTGAGCATAGGGTACATAGTCCTGTTGTGAAGGGAGAAGTTGTCTGTCCCCTTCCCACTGGGCTGAAGGTTCCTGAGTGGAATGTGGACTCCTGTCACCATGGCTGGGTGCATTTGAGACAAGTGCAGGAGGTGACACTGCTAGATCCCAGGAGACCTGGGTTCTTGCCAGCCTCAGGGGAGGCAGGCATGGGATATCTGAACCGTGACTGGGGCTTGGAGGTGCCTTGCTGAGGCTGTGGGGCTGAGGGGTCTGAAATTAACCCCTTATGGTTTTCCCTAACGTGGCTTTGTTTTACTTCTGCAGTAGGAGAAGGGGAGGAACTGATCAGCCCCTGTTTACCTCCTGGCTTCAAATCTGAGTGGCAGCATGGTGAGATAGTATACAAAATTAAAGGACAGAAGGCAGGTATAGTGATTTATCACTCTTCCTCTCTAGGCCAGCATGCTATTAGCAGTGTAAATGATACACTCAGCTTCTTGCAAAGACAGTAGATTCTCTGTTTACTGTTCAGTCTGGCTCCTCTAGATGTGCTGCTAAAGAGATTCTGCAGCTTTTCCCTCTTTGTACCATGGTGTCTGTCTGGTCAGTAAAGCTGGTGGTAGTAGCACAGGTGGAGTTGAGCAATCCCTGAACAGGTCTGTCAGAATCCTTCCACCTCAGATGGCATTGTCCATCTCTGATCTATCACATACTCAGTCCCAATCTGAGGATGGTAGGTGTTCCCACTGGAAGATGCAGATTTCAGTTCTCTGTGAAGAGCTTATGACGTGTTATTGTGCAAAAGGGAGCCTGTTTCCTGGCAGATCCTAAGCAAATTGCATGCATATTTAACTCTCTGCCCATAATATGCTGGGTTTCTTTGCCTTCTTTTAGGTGAGCCTCTGTATGAGGCTTGTTCTAACAAAGTGGCAAAGATGCTCTATAGAAAAGTGCATAAAGCTGAGGAAGTGAAGGACTTGGATTTTTACACGTTCTCCTACTACTATGACCTTGCAGCAGAGGTTGGTCTCATAGGTAGGTTTGCTCCTGGTTTAGTTTCATTTAAATGACAAGCTGTGGAAGAAATAGCTCACATCAGGATGCTTTGCTAAGCTGTCATGGAACTTAGCCTTTTGTTATGCTGCTGCGCAGCATTGGTCTTGGCTGGATATTGGATGCTATTTAATTTCTATAGAGAGAGGACTGGGGCTGTGAAATACGACCTGCAACTTCTGGTAATGGCTTTTAAACAAACTGTCTGCATTTCAGAAATCGCTGTGTGATTCACTCCACAATCCAAAATAGAAACAGGACCTCATAATGATAAACAAATCTCTTGGACAGGACAGCAGTGAAATGATCTTGGGCTGTGTGTTTGGCTTCGCAGACCTCTTTAGATGGAATGAGGATTTTTAGATAACTCCACATGTATTCAAAACGTATCCCATCTCTTTCCCAGTGGTATGTTGGTGTGTAAAAGTCTGTTCAGTGGTAGAAAGCAGGTGATGAGATCTCAGGCTAGTTTGGACAAGGTGACAGTCTGTAAACTGTGTTTCTGTAGGAAAGGAGGCTAAAAATTCTTCATAAAATGAGGCTTTACAATCTGTATTAAAACTCTTTTAAAGGTTCTTTTACCTTTAAAGCAAGTGTGAGTTTTGTCAATGATTTCAGTGGCTCAGTGGAAATGAACCTTCAAGGTTTCCTTTCCCAACTTTTATGGCTTGAATCTACAATTGCCTTTATACAAATACCTTAAAAGACCACCTTTGTTTGTTCCTTTAGATAAAGAAAAAGGAGGAAGCTTAACTGTTGGTGACTTTGAAATTGCAGCTAAATACGGTGAGTGAGACACAATCCAACACACAGCAGTCATTGTGTGTAAATTCATACCCAGGTGGCAAACAGGTGACATGATAAAGATATCAAAACTCGCTCAAGAATTACTACTAAACTTGCCAGTTAACAGCTCACCTGACATCATGCTTTCAGAATTGGTGTGGGGTTCTCATCCTGTTAGTGTAACCTGTTCTTACCTGGTTTCATTTTACTTCTTGTCTCAAGATTTGTTCCTCAGCTTGATTGTTAATCAGAAAAGGGGTAAAGCCAGCTCATAGTTTTTGGCTTCATCAGCTGCTGAGAGAACTGCCTATGCGGACTTACAAATGGAAACATCCTTTTCTTAATGCTACAGACTCAGGCTTTGACCAAACCGACATGGAGCTTTTTGGGAAACTTTATGATTGACTGAACAATTGTTGCAGTTTTTTGTGTAATTCATCCTGAGAAGGGAAGTGAGGGTTATTTTGCTTTTGTCTTGGTTTTTTCTTTTGTCTTCTTTCCCTTTGGTTTTGTCTACATCTATGGAGTGCTTATGCACAGGAAACATAACATACCTGTGGTTGCTTGGCTATTTAAAGGCTTGAAGTAGATAGAAGAAAACTTGAAGGCCCTTTTCATCCTTTCCCAGAGAGATAGAAGCAACTCACCTGTCTTAGGGGAGACACAGAAAGCCTTGATCTTCCTTCCAGTGTGCCACAGCTTTTGTGCATGTCATTTCAGTCCTATAGTGACAGGTTCCATCACTGTGCAGCTCAATTGACAAGAGGTGTTTTATGGATTCACTTGAGGTTTTTCAAAGCTGTGTTGATGCTAGGCCTGAGCCCACAGTGTGCATTCAGACACCCTTTCCTTTCTCCTTAGTATGTAAGACCATGGAAATCAGTCCTGGAAGCAGCCCTTTTCTATGCATGGACCTCACGTACATCACCTTCCTCCTGCAAGAGCTGGGCTTCCCAAAGAGCCAAGTCTTCAAGGTGATGCACAGGATGGAGGTGATGCTGGGGAGAGTGGGCAGCAGGGTGCTGAGGCAGTAGTCATCACACCAACAGTTTGCTCCTCAATTTCCTTTCTTAATGCAACACATTCTCTGTGATCGGGGGTGGAGGGACACTGGCCTCACAACGGTGGTAACCAGCCGTGATAACCTTCAGTACTGTATTCCCCTTGCATGCTTCTCCTTTCTCCCAAAGAATTGTGGTTTAACTTCCTTGCTTTGGTGGTGTTGTTCTGTGGTTTTTTTCAGCTTGCCCGGAAAATTGACAATGTTGAAACGAGCTGGGCATTGGGAGCCACTTTTCATTACATTGACTCACTCAATAGACTGCAGTACTAAAGCTCCTTGAAGAAAATCAGTTTTTGGAAGCCCAACGTGATGGGAAGTCAAGTCCCCTCCATCACTAGCTCTCTTTTTTACAGTGTAGAGTGCACAATCTAAAGAATAAGCCTTGATTTGACACCATCTGCAGTCAACTTGCTGTAAAACTTGATCACTGTTGAAGGAAAACCAGGACTCTGCAGGACATCTATGATCTCTATGAGAAAACCACCTTTTTGGAATGTGCTTGTACTATGTGCTTGTACTGTGCTGAAGTCACTGTAGGAAATGGTCGCTCCGGGAGGAACTCTTTACCGTCCTGATTCCAGGGTGGGTTTTTCCTGTTTGTCAGCAGTTTTCAGTGATGATTTTTATTTCACTACTTCCGTGTTTGAAGGTGAACTCCTGTGTGTGTGTGTGCAAAGACAGTGCAGTTACACAGCTGTGCTGCTGACAGGCTTTGGAATACGCTGTGGAACTCTCAATTCTGCTTTCTGTTTGCTGGACTAGAAAAGCTCAAGAGCACTCCAGAAACTGGATATGGACTTGGAGGCATGAATCGGAGCCTGCATGCCCTGTAGTGCTAAAGCCTACATCCAGCCTAATGTTGGTTCCTTGGCTGCTGGAAGATGGATGGTGGAAGAGAACATCTTCTGTATTTGCTGGATCTAGAGGAGCAAGGCCTGGGTACAGGGCTCAAGATGCATTTGATAGCTCGGGAGTTGGTCAGGGTAAGATGGATGAACAAGATGCAACCATAAATGTAAACCCTGAGCATGGCTTATTAGAACTCACAGACATTTGTGCCTTGGCCAGGTTGACGCAGGGCCTGGGCTGAATGCATTTACTTGGGCTCTGCTTCCTGCAGACACATCTCACTTTGATAAATGAATGTATATGGTTGCACTGAGCCGTGGCAGGGTAGCTGCAATGCACCACTCCAGCAGCGGGCTGTACGCGGGCTGAAGTCACCTCGGAGGCCGCAGGAGCTGGAGGAGGGAACGTGCTGTGCGCTTTGTAACCTAACTGTGGAGTTGTGTTCTGTTTGTAGTGGATGTTTAGAGCAGACCCCAGAGGTCTTTTGGGGTGCGGAAAAGCCCAGCAGTGTGTGCCCCGACTCCAGGGCTCACGGCCACAGCCTCGTCGGGCAGTGGGATGTGGCACGGTGGTGTGTGGTGCTGCATGGGGACACTGGAACCCCACTGTATGACAATAAAACCCCAATTTAAACTGAAAACCTGGTGGTGGTGGTGGTGGGTTGAGAAATGAGTGCCCTGATGCCATTGCTGTCCCCTCACGGCATCACAGTGTCCATCCCTGTCACAGAACCCCAGGCTGGTTTGTGTTCGGACCTTAAAGCTCACCCAGTTCCAACCCCCTGCCACAGGCAGGGACATCTTCCACTAGAGCAGGTTGCTCCAAGCCCCTGTGTCCAACCTGGCCTTGAACACTGCCAGGGATGGGGCAGCCACAGCTTCTCTGGGCACCCTGTGCCAGGGCCTCAGCACCCTCACAGGGAAGAATTTCTCCCTAATGGCTCATCTCAATCTCCCCTCTGTCAGGTTAAAGCCATTCCCCCTTGTCCTGTCCCTACAGGCCCTTGTCAAAAGCCCCTCTCCGGCTTTCCTGTGGGCCCCTTTAGCCATCCCCATCCCCACATACCAGCCAGCGGCCGGCGCCATCATGGCGGCACCACGGTCCCCTCCGCAGCCCCGCCGGGGGCGGGCAGCCGCTCCCCTCCCGGGGGCCGGGCCTGGCGCCGGCCGTGCGGGCCCCGCCTCGTCCCAAGGCAGCGGAGGCGCAGGCGCGGCGGCTGCGGCAGAGCCCGATCCCGATCCCGGTCCCGGTCCCCATCCCTCTTCAGAGCCCGGTCCCGCGGCGGAGCCGCTGGGGCGGTGTTGGCGGCAGGATGGCGGCGCCGCTGAGCGACGGGGAGCGTCGGAAGCAGATCAGCGTGCGGGGGATCGCGGGGCTCGGGGACGTGGCCGAGGTGCGCAAGAGCTTCAACCGGCACCTCCACTTCACCCTCGTCAAGGACCGCAACGTCGCCACCCCTCGGGACTATTACTTCGCGCTGGCCCACACGGTGCGAGACCACCTGGTGGGGCGCTGGATCCGCACCCAGCAGCACTACTACGAGCGGGACCCGAAGGTGAGCGCCGGGGACGGGGGCATGGCGGCTGTGCCTTCCTTGCGGGCATCCCCTTGCTGTGGCCCGTGTCTGCTTGGGCATCACCGCAGCCGTGGCTGCGGCCCTTGTGCGCCTCTTCCCTGTGGGCATCACCGCGGCCGTACCCTTTGCACGCACCCTGCGGTGGCTGTGCCCCCCGCGGGCATTGCACGCATCCTGCCAATGGCCCTCACCTCATGTTGGTTGTGTGCCTGTGGACCTTGCCCCAGCGATGCCCATCACACACGTTTTGCCGCGGCAGTGTCACCGTGAGCATCACCACAGCCACATTCCTCATGCAGTTTGCCGTGGTTGGGTCCCCCCCAAGCTGCCCTGCAATCCTGTCCCCCCCCTCCAAGCACTCTGTGACCCCCTGTGAGCATGTCCTCTCATGGGCCTTGCTGCTGCCATCTCCTTGGCGTGCTTCCCCATGGCCATGACCACCACAGCAGTGTCCCCTGTGGGCACTGGACACATCACCTCCATGGCTCAGCACATGCCATGGCCTGGCTTCACTCCTGCAGAGCCCTCAGGAAGCTCTGCTCTGAGGCTGGAGCCTCCCTTGCCTCATGCACCCCAGACAAGCTCTCTTAGGTCACCAAGCCCTGTGGGTTGGTGGTTCCTGGGGCACTTGGCCTGCTCCCTCCTCTCCTCCCCACTTGTCAGGCAGGGTGGTGGTGCTGGGGGCTGCAGGGTGTTAATCATCCTTAATCCTTTTTCAATTCAGACCATTCCAGCACTTACCTGGGGAGCCCCAGAGGGCAGGTGTGCTCTAGGAAAGGCACACGCCTCCCAGCCTGCAGGCAGCTGCCTCCTCCAGTCAGCTATGTTCTTGGGGTTATGAGTATTGCCTTGACTCAAGAAATCACACTTTGACACCAGTTTACAGCTGCACACATACTGGGGGGTAGCAGCAGTGCATGGAGCTCTTGCTACTCACACAGATGTGCTCTGATCCGTATTTCTGCACTAACACTAGAGCTTGTACAGGTCCTGTAAAGGCTAAGGGGAGCCTGGAGAAGGTTTGCTTGCCATCCCTCTGACTTGGATTCACACAAGAAACACAGCTCTGTGGAAGGCTGAAAGGAGCAGGGCTGGGGCAGCTCTGCTCTGGAGCCAGGCTGCGAGAGCTGGGCTGGTTCAGCCTGGAGAAGAGAAAGCTCTGGGAAGACCTTAAAGCAGCTTTCAGTGCCTAAAGGGGCTACAAGAAACCTGCAAAGGGGCTTTTGACAAGGGCCTGCAGGGACAGGACAAGGGGGAATGGCTTTAACCTGACAGAGGGGAGGCTGAGATTAGGCAGAAGTTCTTCCCTGTGAGGGTGCTGAGGCCCTGGCACAGGTAGCAGAAGGTGTTCCTGCCCATGGCAGGGGTTGGAAGTGGATGATCTTCAGGATCCCTTCCGACCCAAACCAGTCTGTGATTCTGTGATTTACACAGCTGTGCAATGGTTTCAGTCTCTACAGCGAGCCCCAGGGAGCAGATGGACCCTTTCAGACTCCCAGCAGAGGTGGCAGAGTGGGTAATCCTGCTGCTTAGCAGGAAAAGAGCCCAGCTACGATGGAGAGATTCAGGAGGAAGCATTATTTACAGTCAGGCTGGAGCTGTGTTAAAGATTCCCATTGATTTCTAAAAATACCTGCGTGAGGGCAGGTTTGCCCAGCCTGCTCCTCATGCCACAAACAGGTTTGCATTACCATTCACAGCACAGGCACAGCTCCCGTCAAACCTGGAAGGTCCCCACGGAGCAGCCTTGCCTGTCTTGCCAGGAACCCTGCCACCAGCAGGACAGTTTATTTATTCCACAGGGTGAAACGTGTGTAAAACCCGGAGTGGAGGGAACAGGACCCATGGGATAGGGAAATGACGTTCCTGAACGGTGTGCACAGGGTCCTGGGCAGAGACTGCATCAGCTTCATCTCAGCACGGGCAAACTTCAAAAGCCCAACCTGAACATCACCTCGGGCGAGCTCGGTGTGTATAAATACACCATTCAGCATCCTCCAGAGCTCTTGCCCTAAGTTAATTAGGGAAACACTTAACAGGCAACAAGTTTTCTCTATAGAAGGCTGTTGGCAGGGAGACGTGCAGCCCAAGCTTGGCCCGCATCCCACGTGAGATCCTTCTGACAAACAAACTGCGGTGCATGGTGTTCGGGAGCAGGAGCCAAGAGCTGCTTTGGGAAGATGTCCCGACCCTGGCAAGCACTTGGCTCTGCTCTTAATTTCGAGTGACTTTGGTGAAAGCAAAGTGCTGTGCTGTGGGTAAGTGTCTCGCTTTGCCTCCCCAGCGCATTTACTACCTGTCCCTGGAGTTCTACATGGGCCGCACTCTGCAGAACACCATGGTGAACCTGGGCCTGCAGAATGCTTGTGATGAAGCCATTTACCAGGTGAGGTCTTGGGGGTGCTGGGGTTCCCATGAGGAACTGGTCCCACTTTGCCACGCGGAGGGCTGGTTACCTGTATTTCTCAGGTCTCCCTCCTCCTGAGTTTTTTGACTAAACAGAGCGAGGCTTGGGTGAAGCTGAGCCCCAGGACACCAAATTACAGTTCACACATGTACACATCTGTGTACACAACAGTGCTGCCAGATGCAAGTGAGTCACTGGGAAGGAAGAAGGCGAGGGGAGGGCATTGTTTGCTTGAATTAAAATGTTATCAGAGTTCAAACTGGGAAAAGCACAGCTAAGTACCATGAAGCAAACCACAAGCAGTGGTGAGTTGGGTTTGCACCCACCTCTCCAGCAGGACAGTGACCTTTCTGAAAGAGTATGAGATTTTGGGCTTTCTTACCCAAGAGTTTTATTTCCCCATCTCCTCTTCCCCTCCTTCCACTGCACTGATCCATGTTACACTTGCTAGCAGAAGCTGGGCTCTGGCACTGTCTCTCAAATGAAGTGCTACAGTTGCTGGTGAACCATCACTCTCCCTGCCAGGAGATGGGAAGGGCTTTCCAGGGAGGGACATGACACCTTTCCTCTCTGAACTATTGTGCCTCAGAGGGCAGGCTGGCTTTTTCCAGGGAGGATCTTCAAATCCCTTTACAAGGCACTTTCCACACGCTGGTTTGGCCCGACATGCAAGCAGAGGCTTTACTCGCTGTAGCCTCTGACATGTGGAGCTCATCATGGGATGAGCTTCCAGCTGGGATAGAAGGTCTTGTACCCAGCATGGCTCTGTCACAGGGAATCCGCCTTGGTTTTTGGGACCCCATCACACTGGGCATGAGGCTGTCCCAGGCTGTTGCTGCAGAGCACTGAAGTGCTGGGGAGCAGCTCAGGCAGCAGCCATGGTGTTGTCCTGACTCCCCGCTGTCCTCCCTGGCACTGAGGTGAGATCTCTTGGCTCCTGAGGACTGTTTGCTGCCGGCACACCACTTAGCCTGCATCCGGCAGCAGTCCCTGGGCTGGAGAACAAATGAGATGGAGCAGAACAGCCACTTCCAGCCATGGCCTGCGGTCACGGAGCTGGGCAGCAGGTGGGGCTGCATGTGGGAAGGCCCAGGGCATGATGAACGCTGCTGTAACCAGTGGCTGTGCTCTCCCTCAAGGACGGGGCGGTTGGGAGCAGGGGGGCAGTGTGTGTACCCGGACATGACTTGGCTGTTCGCCGTCCTTTCTCCAAGGGCGAGCTCAGTGGAAGGGCCTCCTGGGCTGCCAGGAGATGAGTGTTTGTTTGAGGTCTCTAAGGAAACCTCGTCCATGGGAAAGCGACGTTTTATAATGAGCTAAATTGTTTTCCAGTTAACTGGACTTCCCAGGGACCAGGGGCTGGTGAGATGCTTTGTGGGGAGAGGGAGATGCAGAGACCCATGTGGGCTTCGTTTCCCATGGTGTGGGTTGGTTTGGGATCTGTGTGTGCCCTCCTCCGCAGCCCCAGGGCATGGCCTTTGGGCGATGACATGTTCTGCTGTGGCTCTTTCCCCTGTAGCTGGGTTTGGACTTGGAGGAGCTGGAAGAAATAGAAGAAGATGCTGGGCTGGGGAACGGAGGACTGGGCCGCCTGGCAGGTAAGCTGGGGAGAAGGGAGCCCCCTCCTCACACAGGGGGCATGAGTTGGTGTGACTGG